GGGCTCGGCCAAAGCCGAGCCACCTATGGGTGGCTCGGCCCAGTGCCGGCCACCCATAGGTGGCCGACCCAGATCTGTGCGCGGGCACAGTTCAGAGAGCCTATAAATAGGCTCCCCTTTGTTCATTTGAAAAGGTTGGAACTTTGAGAGCCGAAACTCTGCCGAATTGAAGATTGAACTCAGAGTTTTGAAGACTTGAAGACTTGAAGATTTAGATCTGATTCTCGGCGAGCGTCCACGTCACAAAAGGCAGGAGTTCGATAGAGATGAGCGACGTACAGGATGCGTTAAATGCTCAGAATTTGGAAGAGACCATCATGGTCCACGAGAGGCCACCTAAATATGAAGAGGCGGTATGGGAGAAAATGAATAGGAACGCTTGTGGGGTGATCAGGTCCTGTTTGGAACAGGAGCTGAAGTATGATGTGATTGGGGTGACGTCTGCGATGAAGATGTGGGAAATTCTCAACAATAAGTACCTTACGAAGAGTGTTGAGAACCGATTGCACTTGCTGCGTAGGTTATTCAGATTCCAGATGTCCAGAGGCACCTCGCTTGCGGCTCATGTGAACAACTATACGAAGTTGTTGTCGGACTTGGCGAATGTTGATGAGAAGATATCGGATGAGTACAAGGCGATTATTTTGTTGGGCTCCTTACCGGATGAGGAGTATGATACCTTCGTGCTCACTTTGTTGAACGGGAGATCTTCTATCAGCTATAGTGAAGTGACTAACGCATTGACCAACTATGATTTGAGGAGGAAGGACAAGGAGACTTCCCGCGCTAGTACTTCAGGAGAGGCCTTGTCGACGAGAGGTAGAAGCCCATATCCGAAAGGTGGTAATAGAGGAAGGTCAAAGTCTAGAGGCCGCCACCAATTAACAAAGAACCAATGTGCATTCTGCAAGGAGCAGGGACATTGGAAGAGAGACTGCCCGAAGCTCAAAGAGAAGGAGAATAGCAAGAAAAAGGGCCCGAAGGCCAATGAGGTGAACATTGCGAAAGGCGATGATTCCGATGATTCGTGCTTTTCTCTACTGATTACTCCGGAGGTGAACCATGTGGATGCATCAGATTGGATGCTTGATTCCGGCGCTACCTTTCATGTGACCCCTAGGCGAGACTGGTTTGCATCTTTTGAGAAAGTCGACGGGGGCGTTGTTGTCATGGGAAATGATCAATCCTGTGGCGTTTGTGGGATAGGTACCGTACGGATTAGGATGCACGATGGAGTAGTCCGTGAGTTGAAGGAGGTGAGATTTGTTCCTCAACTGAAGAAAAATCTTATCTCAGTTGGAGCTTTGGAGGCGAAGGGATTCAAGGTGACTTTCGAAAACGCTGTAGCGAAGGTTACTAAGGGATCATTGGTGGTGATGAGGGGAGTCCGCAATCGGAATTTGTATTATCTGAAGGGAAGCACCGAGATTGGCCAGGTTGCTTCGGCTATTTCAGAAGCGGACATGAGCAGACTTTGGCACTATAGATTGGGGCACACAGGTGAAAAGTCACTGCAGGCATTGTGCAAGCAGGGGCTATTGAAGGGAGCCAAGAGTGGGAAGATTGAGTTCTGTGAGCACTGTGTTCTTGGCAAGAAGACGAAGGTGAAGTTCGGGACTGCCATTCATCAGACGAGGGGCATCCTGGACTACGTGCACACAGACGTTTGGGGTCCCACCAAGACTGCATCACTTGGTGGTAGACATTGGTTCGTCACTTTTGTAGATGACTATTCTAGGCGTTGTTGGGTGTACACCATGACGAAGAAGAGTGAAGTCCTAGATTTGTTTGTGGAGTGGAAGAAGAGATTGGAACTGCAGACTGGGAGAAAGATCAAGACGTTGCGATCCGACAACGGTGGTGAGTATACTTCTGACCCCTTTCAGCAGCTATGTCGAGACGAGGGCATAGAGAGATACTTCACAGTTAGTCATACACCGCAGCAAAATGGGGTGGCAGAGAGGTTGAATCGGTCTTTACTGGAGAAGATCCGATGCTTATTGTCGCAGAGTGGTTTGGAGAAGATCTTTTGGGCTGAGGCACTTTCTTATGCGAGCCACCTCATTAATAGGCTGCCTTCATCTGCGATTGAGGGGAAAACCCCTATGGAGATGTGGTCGGGAAAGCCAGCACATGACTATGACCAGCTCAAGGTATTCGGGTGCCCTGCATATTATCATGTTAGAACTGATAAGTTGGAACCTCGAGCTAGGAAGGCCATATTTGTAGGATTCAAGCGTGGTGTCAAGGGATACAAGCTTTGGGATCCAGTGGATAAGAAGATTGTGCTGAGTAGGGATGTCACATTCGATGAGGCTTCTATCTTGAAGCTTCCCAGCTCTCATCAGGTGGAGAGCAACCCGACAGAGGAGATATTGCAGGTGGTGGAGATCGATGCAGCTCCACATTGTCCAGATGGTACAGTATCCATGCAGGTGCCGACTGAGGTGACGCCAGGCGAGCACGGCGATGACGAGGAGGATACGGGTACAGAAGTGCAGAATCAGGGACCGACGGCTCAGGTTTAGGATTCGATTGCGGTTCGGAGACAGAGGAGAAACATACAGATGCCAGCACGGTATGCCGACACAGTTGCGTATGCACTTCCGGTGGAGAGTATCGATGAGTTAGTGCCTACTACATTCAGAGAGGCCGAACAGAGTTCGGAGGCTGATTCGTGGCAGGGGGGCGTGCGGGCGGAAGGCAATTGGTTGCAAGTAGGTATACACGAAGAAGGAGGGCATTGAAGGCACTCCATTGAGGTTCAAAGCTAGGTTGGTTGCGAAGGGCTATGCACAGGAGGAAGGTATTGACTATAATGAGGTTTTCTCTCCGGTGGTGAAGCACTCTTCGATTCGGATGTATTGACTATAATGAGGTTTTCTCTCCGGTGGTGAAGCATTCTTCGATTCGGATTTTGCTAGCTTTGGTGGCACAGTATGGATTGGAGTTAGATCAGTTGGATGTGAAGACAGCATTTCTTCATGGTGATCTTGATGAAGAAATATATATGACTCAGCCATTGGGATTCCGAGCTGCAGGGAAAGATAAGTTGGTTTGCAAACTGAAGAAATCGCTATACGGTTTGAAGCAGTCTCCTCGACAGTGGTATAGGCGATTTGATGGTTTTATGCTTGGTCATTCGTACACTCGGAGCCAGTTTGATCCTTGCGTATATTTTCGCAAGTTGAAAGGAGGTGCGTACATTTATTTGTTGCTCTATGTCGATACATGTTGGTTGCCTCTATTTCCAGGTCGGCTATAGATGAGTTGAAAGTTCAGCTTTCAAATGAGTTTGAGATGAAGGATTTGGGCGAGGCGAAGCACATTTTAGGGATGGAGATCGGCAGAGACAAGAATAAGGGCAGAATTTGTTTGACATGGATACGAAGCCAGTTAGTGTACTTTTGGGAGCCCATTTGAAGCTTTCAGCTGGTCTTTCACCAAAGTCAGTTGAAGATCGTGAGTTGATGTCGAAGACTCCATATGCGAGTGTGGTAGGGAGCTTGATGTATGCAATGGTATGTCACAGGCGATGAGCATGGTTTCGAGATACATGCACGATCCAGGAGTGGGTCATTGGGATGCCGTGAGATGGATTTTGAGGTACATTCTAGGTACGCTCAATGTTGGTTTGGTTTATGAGCGGGACACTAAAGGTGGGCAGTTATGCATTGGTTATGTTGATTCGGATTATGCCGGGGATTTGGATAAGCGCCGGTCTACGACGGGGTATGTGTTCACTTTGACCCGTGCGCCGGTGTGTTGGAGATGCACCTTACAGTCGACGGTGGCTTTGTCTACGACGGAGGCAGAGTATATGGCAGTTACGGAGGCTGTGAAGGAGGCTATTTGGCTTCGATGACTCTTGGAGGAACTTGGTATATCGTAGAGGTCCGTCACTATTCATTATGATAGCATGAGTGCTATCTATTTGGCGAAGAATCAGGTTTTTCATGCGAGGACGAAGCACATTGATGTTCGTTATCACTTCGTTCGAGATGTTCTTGAAGATGGCGATGTGGAGATTGTCAAGGTCGACACGAAGGATAATCCGGCGGATATGCTCACAAAGGTGGTGTTCGGGATGTTCTTGAAGATGGTGATGTGGAACTTGTGAAGGTTCACACGAAGGATAATCCGGCGAATATGCTCACTAAGGTGGTTCCGAGCAACAAGTTTGATCATTGTCGAAACTTGTTGCATATTCGTGATTGTTGAGGCCGTTGGCGGCCATTTGGTGAACTACGTTCGGCTTGATTCCTTGGGCACGAGGATACGTAGGCAGTCTTTCAGATGCAGCCGAACATTTGATTGCTTTGGTGTCGGCTCAGTTTTGAAAAAACTTCACCGAGGTGGAGAATTGTGAGCGGACGTGGGCCCCCACCCACGTGACAATTCTGTCCGCGTACGAAGAGAACAAAACCGACTCGGTTTCGGTTTTGATGTTCCGCATGAAGCCCACGAACGAAGGCCCACGAATCATTTATATATAACACTTGATTTGTTTGCTTTAGGTTTTTGTGCAAGCTAAGGAGTTTTTTTGGGGTGTTAGGCGGCTGCAGCAAAGAGAGCACAAATTTGTTTTGTCGGGTGACTGCGGGAGAAAAATTTGTGCAGTCTCTTCTTTGTTTTTTTTTGCAGCCTTTTGATGTTCCGCATGAAGCCCACGAACGAAGGCCCACGAATCATTTATATATAACACTTGATTTGTTTGTTTTAGGTTTTCGTGCAAGCTAAGGAGTTTTTTTTGGGTGTTAGGCGGCTGCAGCAAAGAGAGCACGAATTTGTTTTGTCGGGTGACTGCGGGAGAAAAATTTGTGCAGTCTCTTCTTTGTTTTTTTTTGCAGCCTTTTGTAGAGAGATATTGTGAGGGATCTGAGAGTTTATGTGAGGGTTTAGATTGTGAGTGATTGTAAACCCTAGTTGTAATCTCTCCCTCTAATAGTAGATCTCCCCCCTCCTTGTCCCGTGGACATAGGCAATTTGCCGAACCACGTAAAATTGGTTGTACTGCTATTTGGGTGATTTGTAATAGCTTTTTAGGTTCCCTCGACGCGCAGTCCTAGAGCTGATGAGGGGAAGAGCTAATATCCCACTTTGATGGAATATTAGGCTTCAGATTCTTGTTCCCTTTGAGAAACAAGAATTCTTATTGCGACATGACTTTCTTGTTGTGCTGCCGAAGTGCTGCCGAAATTTCCGCTGCGCGCAACATTATGTGTACTTTGGTACCCTAAAAAACTTTGATACCCCATAGTTTTTATTTGACACTTTGATTCCCCAAGGCTTACACCTTTATTAACTTTGACACTCCGAAATTTTTTTCCTGACACTTTGATACCCCCAAAGCTTACGTATTTTTTAACTTTGATGTCCCAAAATTCACAATTTTTTAACTTTGATACACTGAAGTTTACATATTTTTTACTTTTTTTAACTGATACATATTTTTTACTTTGATACCCCAAAGTTTGGGATATCAAAAAGTTGTAAATGTTGGGGTATCAAAGTATCAGAAGAAACCTTTGGGGTATCAAAGATCAAAATGGTGTAAACTTTAAGGCATCAACGTGTCATGGAAAAAAACTTTGGGGTATCAAAGTTCAAAATGGTGTAAATTTCCAGGTACCTAAGTGCAATTAATCCTCTTAAGAACTTATATAATATAAATTCTATTAATAGAAAATTTTATTTATACAATAATCACAAAGATCATGACATATAATGCTTTTCATAATCATTTTTGTATCAATGCATGGTCCTTTTCATTTTTACTAAAAGAACTACGAAAATATTATTAAGATCCAATGATACTCCTCCATAATTGTTCTCAAAGTAGTCTCCTATGATTTTCTCATTTTCTATATCATCAAATATGTCTTTGCTAATTTACATAACTACATAATTTGTCAACCATTCCATTAATTTTTGGATTCGATTGGGGGCACCACGCAAAATTCCATGGGGACACCTTATAAATTCATATGCTTCTTAATAACAAAATTAGAAATTGTCTGGGGGCACGTGCCTCTAAACCCTTATTGCTAGCTTCATCCTTGCTCTCTGCCCCGTGTTAACATTTTTTAACAAAATAGAATTGAGGGGCTATTTGGTTGATAGGAAATAAAGCTGCAACAAACAAATGATGCAGTCAACTTTCTATTTCCATTTGTTTGGTGAGCAACAAGTTAGTTGAAAGGCAAATTGACTTACATTTTCTAGAAAAAGATGCAGCATTTATTGCAGCCAATTAATGTCATGCCGTCAGGTCTGTTGATTCCAACTCAGAAAATGTACATCTTTTTTACAATCACAACTAAACAAATACTTGATTTGCAAATGCAATAAAATATGTAAATCCAACAATTTTTACAATTAATAAAATGTTGGATTTGGATTTGGAATATGTCTTCTGTAATAAATACTCCGGATATCCAAACAATGATTTCAGGCTGATTTCCTGCAACAAATATCACATTCAACATTTGTTAAATCTACTGTTGTAGCATATACCAAACAACCCCATAGAAAAGAAAAAACGCCAATAGTTGGTGACCTGCTCCAATGAACTGGTGATCATAGATGTTTGCTAGAAGATGACATGTATATTTCCATCTGGCATGGAAAATTTCCCTAGTTCTAGATAAGGATGTAACTGTATATATCTAAATCGTATGGTATATTGGCGTTCATTTTATTATGGTTTATTTCTGTTAGATTATTTCTCTACACGTAACTGTTTCTTCTTCCGCGCATTTCTTTGTGTCTCAAGTTACCTTTATGGGCGTATCTCTTGCTTCCGTTAATCGTGTGATTACAATAAACATATACCTAGACTGTTTTAAAGCAGTTTGTGAGATTCCACAGCTTCGGAAAATGATACTTTCGTTCTGACAGGGTAGTTAAAAATATTGCAACTATAACTGGTTCAGACTTTTCACTTTGATGTTTTCAGGTGAGAATGGTAGTTGATGAGGAATCGGTTGGTTTTGGTTTCACGGCAAAGAATGAGTTGATAAATGGGAAGGCAGCTATCATAGGATTTCTACTACTTGTCGATTTTGAACTTTTAACGGGAAAAGGTCTCCTCAAGGGCACTGGTTTCTTGGACTTTATATATTCAGCTTCAAATGCTATAAATTCTTCGTAATGATTCTCAGTTCATGGATGTGCTTATGGGAGAATGTATCATGGCAAAAGGTATATTCTTTTTTTTTCTTTTTTTTTTAACTTGAATCATGTATTTTAACAGTACTTGGAAATGTATACACCAGGAAACTTTTTATTTCATAAGAATTTTCTATACATTCAAAACTTTCAGTGATTTGGTTTGTATTTGAATTTTTCTCAGTGTATATGTACTATAATTCAGAAAAGATAAGTTTTTACAGTTCATTGATGCTAAAAGTTTCGAACATGACAGAATGATGATATCTGCAAGTATTTTCTTGGCTTAGCCTTTAACCCTGCTTCTGTAGGCAATACTTGCATTTGAAGGATGAGATAGATGGTATACTATTATAAGCTGTTATTTGTAACAATCTTTTGTGTTGTCTTGTTGTCGATATCTTTCTCTTATATGTGTTTGGTGCGAGATTGGTTTTTTATTGCTTAATGTTTTGATGTCTTGTTGAACCTTGATCAGTAAATTGTGCTGTTTTCAAAATGCATGATTCATGTAACAATACTTGTGAAGTCTTTGGCTGCCCTTTAGTTTTATTTTTTCTCCACGCTTTTTCTTTCTTTTTTGTTGAATTCAGCCTTCTTAGGATATAATCTCATCCGCTTGATGTGAATTGAGATATGAACTTTTTCATCCAGACACATGCAGAGAAAAGAAAACAGATATTATCAGAACATATATTTAAGGGATTGGAATCCAATAAATAAAATTTCCAGAAAATTTCGAGAAGAGATTATCAAAGCTTCTGTTGATGTCTGAAATCACACAGCCAATAGGGGGAGGTTGTCTGCCGGTGGAGGATGATGGAGAATGATAGGGCCGACTCCCCCTCCGACTTCATGTCTAGCTCTGAGCGTTCGGGGTGGACTGATTGCCTGCACATGCAAGGAACGCAGCAGGGGTACAGGGCGTGTTTCCCCCTGTTGTACCTCCGATGGTCAAGTTAGTGGAGTTTGAGGGAGGTTTTGGGGAGAGTCCATGGGCCATTAAGGTCCATGCAGGGAACATCCTCCTCCTAAAGTTATGTAGAAGTAATTTTTAGGGAAAATTATTTCTAGGTGTTTTCAAGATCAAAGAACCTGAGTCAAAAATGGTCAGCCCCTCCTATGATCAATTGCCTCCTTTATAGGCTGTTGAGGATAGACTAGTTGCTTCATGAGGGGTCTGTAAACGACGGTGGGGGATGAGCTGGAGGCTGATTCAGCAGTTGTCCCTTACGTGTCAGCTGGCGATTGGAGGAGGTGTCATTCGAGATGATCTCGATAAGGCCCCCGAGTTGATTAGACGGTGCATGGCAGAGAATAAGCCGAGGTGCTAAGTCGTCCCCAGCTTTACAGATGACGGTAAGCGACTGGAGGGAAAGTCATTTCGAGTACAGGAGGTGCCTCGATAATGTCCCAGATCTGATGGATAAGGACAAGGGGAAGATAAGCTGGCCAATTTAGCCACTCATTGCTTTACAGATGTCGGTTGGCGACTGGAGAAAAAGTCGTCTGAGCACAGGGGGTGTCTCAATTATGTCCCAGAAGTGACTTGGGAACAGAATGGGCCGTTTTGCATTTAAGACTTGTCAGAGTTGAGATCTTTGATGTGACCGATAAATACTGTGGTGTTGTTCGATGTATATCTCGAAAATAGCTTAGTTGGATCTTATCCTCCCCAGCAGGATCCAGTCAGTTTGTGAGTCGTTCTCATAACTCGTCGATAAGTTAAGTGAGTTGTTGGTTCGGTCAGGCAACTGGGTAAACGTCCGAGCCGACTGCTAGGAGAGTCGCCTCGATTAGGAGTCATGTGGATTCTCGAGGAGTCGTCTTGAAGATGAGGGGTCGACTACTTCCGTGCTTCGTGTCGACTAAGATTGTTTGCTCTCGGCTAGGCTTTTGGGCCGCTGAGTTAGTTTGGATCACGACTCTGTTAGGCCTATGAAGGCAATCTTCCAATACTTTCATCTGTAGATGGTAAATTACAATAACAGATGGCCCCTTTCATTCGAAGCTGACTTTGGTCGGGTCCGAGTGAAATAGGTATGATTCGGCTTCTGATGCCAAGGATCTTTAGCCAGTCAGTCGTGGCTGGAGAGATAGGTTGGATCCCCTTCGAATTAATGTTGCCGATATTGGAAACCGCTACGTGGGGGGAACGAGGCGTCGTGGTCAGAGTGGGCGGCAGTTATGCGGGGCGGTTGATATTCCCAGCGAGTCATTTTTGTTTCTCAAAACGGATCTTTAATCTTCTTTGGTGGCTTCAAGATCATGCCTCTTGAGTTCTGCATGCTTCTTCAGAGGCTTATAAATAATCTCTGATACAGCTTTGGGAGTACATTCTTCATCGGGAACATTCTTCTTCTTGTTGGATCCTCGTCTCCCTAGGAATTTTACACATGGCTTTTACCCAGAATGACCGTGAGAGGAAGCTTAGGGTTTTGTACTTATCTTGGTCGAGAATGTCTGTGAATGACGCAGCATGGCTGCACGATAGGTACGACATATCTCGTGTAATGGCCATAGGGGCACCGAATAGCTTCACTCCGGTGCATATGCATGGCGAGGACCAAGCGCCTCTCTACCTGGCACACCTATAGTGTGGTCTGCGCCTGCCGCTGCATCCCTTCGTCAGGGAGGTTTTTGCGGCGCTGGGGGTTTCCCCCTGCCAATTCCACCCGCACGCTATATATACTCTGATGGCGTTTATAGATGCCTGCTCCGAGGCAAGGGTGGTGCCCAACATCAACTTGCTTGGGTACGTAGTTAGTGTGGGGTCTACGGAAGACGAACCACACTATTTTTTCATCGCCGGGACGACTTCCACTTGGACGTCTACGGAAGGCGACCCACACTATTTTTTCATCGCCGGGACGACTTCCACTTGGACGTCGACTTCCCAGAGCTGGCGGAGGACTGGAGGAAATTCTTTGTCTAGGTGTTCAGCGTCGATAACATTATGTCCTACTCGGGTTGGCCTGAAGTGCAGGAGAATGTATTGGAGCCGAGGGCCCTCAGCAATCCTGAGGCCGGAGACCTAAAGAAGCTCCGGTACTATCTCGGCCTTCAGGAGTCCAGAGCTCTGGTCGGGGAGGAATTCCCAAAGGTGGGAGGGTCTTCCTCGCCTTCCTCCGACTCCGAAGCAACAGTCTTTCCCCCCCAATGGAGGTCTGTAAAAGGACTGACTCGGAGGGGCCGAGTTCTTCCAGGAGGCCTCTCAAGAAAAGGAGGGACGATTCGCCAAGTGGTGGAGACTCAGATTCGTCTGGTTAATGAGGACTAACGAAAGACTGATGCCGCCATTTTGGGGGGTTCTGTGGCTGGACCCAGTTTTGCTCTCTTCTTCTTTTCTTTCCCTTTTTTTGTAAGCCCCGTTGGGCCCCTTTGTAAAAACATATTTTGAATAGAAAATGATTTTTCTTGTCATTTGTTTTTGAGAGCTACAAACCGTTTGATGAGATTCTTGACCATGTCATTGTTACAATTCGACCCGGTCTACTTTTTTAAGAATCATGTCGGTCTTTATAGACCATAGGCGTCAGCGTCCTTGTTTCTTTGTTTAGTCGAGAAGCATGGAGGTCGTTCTCGGCGCTTTGCCTCGAGCTTGTCTAGGTAAGGAATCTTGGACTTTAATGACTGGCTGAGGCACCATATTTCGGATTTGTTCTTGATGAGTAGCTAAACTGGGTGACCGACTGAGAAGTCGTTGTGCTTTGGGCCTATCCTGAGGCGGCGCCAGGGTCTTTATACCGACTGAGAAGTCGTTGTGCCTTATGCCTATCCTGAGGCGGCGCCAAGGTCTTTATACCAATTGAGAAGTCGTTGTGCCTTGGGCCTATCCTGAGGCGGTGCCAAGGTCTTTATACCGACTGAGAAGTCGTTGTGCCTTGGGCCTATCCTAAGGCGACACCAAGGTTTTGACCATGATAGTCGATGAGAGCAGACGAAATCGAACCATATGTTGTGCATTGAGCTTACCTTTAAGAAGAGTCAAGGGCTTTGTACCGACTGAGGAGTTGTTGTGCCTTAGGCTTGTTGGAAATTAAGGTTAAATCTGTAATTAAACAGTGAAGGATAATGTGCTATTATTTTAAACTTTTTTAATTAACTGTTGTGCGTTTGTGAAACGCTGTGCTTAAAGCAATATTTGGCCTAGTCCGGTGCAAGGATCCCAAGGCTAAACTGCTTCCAGGAACAGCAGTATAGTACTCTGGTGTGCACTAACCTAGTACTGTCAAGATCTCCTTGATCTATAAGACCTTTCGGTCAAGGTAAAAGATCTCCTCGATCTCAGAACCTTTCGGTTCAAAACTTTTCGGTTTCAGGGTTCCTGCGGGCACAATTCTGCAGCAGCAGCACAACAACAGCAACAACAACGTCGATTCGACGTTCATTTTCCAAGCTCGCGTGTGTATACCGACGTTCGTATTCCACGCTCGCGGGAGAGTTTCCAGCAATCATTTAGAGCTGCCCAAGGGCACTATTTATAGGTCTCTAAGGCGAGCTCAAGAGTCACTAGCAATTAATGTGACTGTTATAATTCTTAATGACAATTAAGATTGTAAAATCAATGTATTAAATTGCTTTTAATACTGTTGTAACTGATACATACAGTAACTCCTGAATACGAGGCAATCAATGGATGCGTTGCTACGAAACGCGAGGGTCACAACTCAGCAAATCAGAAGAACCTCGTTTGACAAACGAACGTCGTCAAACAGGCAAACCTCGTATGACAGACAAACCTCATTGAACGAACGAACATCGTCAAATAAGCGAACTTGTATGATAGACGAACCTCGTCGAACGAGCGAACATTGTCAAATAGACGAACCTCGTATGACAGACGAACTTCGTCGAACAAGCGAACCTCGTATGACAAACGAACCTCGTCGAACGAACGAACATCGTCAAACAGGCGAACCTCGTCGAACAAGCGAACCTCGTATGACAGACGAACCTCTTCGAACGAACGAACATCGTCAAATAGGCGAACCTCGTATGCCAGATGAACCTCGTCGAACGAGCGAACCTTGTCAAACTACGAGAACGCTAGGGTCACACCCTCGTGCAAATACGTAGCTCGTTCGCATGCTGCGAAGCAGCCTGCGAGGCAACCTTCGTGGCGACCATAGTGGCAGCTAACGTGACGCCAAACAACGCCACCTCGCCCCGATGCCTCCGTGCGAGGTGCAAAGTGCGCCTAACAAAGCGTCACTTAGCGCCTCAGC